TTCTATAATAATATTAGTACAAATATATACAATATAAAAATAATTTAATGTTTTTACAGCTTATGTATACTAGTATTGAACATATTCCGATGCGAATAAAGACACATAGAAAGGCGTAAAAATTAAATAACTTAAGTCTAAATCATAGTCTAGTAATTACACAAAACTTTAAATATCTGGAATTGTATTTTTGTCTTAGACTTAACACAAGTTTGAGAATAATTTATTTTCGTTTCAACAATTATTAATAAATACCCTAGAAGTATAGCTATTATAAGAATGTCAAAGTAAATTTTTGTTATAATAAACGGACACAGGATGTAAATAAGCGTTTAGTGAAATGCAGAGAATCGATCGCATATATCCAGGTAATAAAAATTAAACATTTAATTAAGTCAAAATATAAAACTATAAACTTAGATAAACAATCGGTTAATCGGTCAATAGATAGTGACAGAAAAACAAAAAAATAACTATTTTCCTTGAGCCAACGTTTCCGCTTTATTTAAGCCATCATCGGGATCAATAATTTAATGCATTTCTGGGGCAGAATAAGGGCCAGAATATACTACCAAAAGCGGGTGTAGTATTGAACTGATGATAATATAATTTTTTTAATATTTCTGTATCTTTATAACTATCAAGATACAGGGTGTTCTGGAAATTGTTAAAAGAACTTGGTATATTTTGATAATTTTTAATATTATAGACACCAACTGAGGCCCCTTAAACCATAGTGTTCATACCATTAAGTACGGAGTATAAGTATTATAAGTATACCAACAATCATCAAGGCGGCGTGCGCGAGAATGTATCAGACCGCAAAAATCCCATGCTTAAGCGAATTGAAGTCAAATAAGAGTACATTTTTTAAGTACTTAATTTAATTTAAGTAAAATGGMTTTTGAGTGAAACCAAACCAAGCTTATGGCTCTTTTTGGGTAAACATCGAGTTTGACCGGTGTCTGACCTATTAACCCTCATCAGCTTGCAAATAACACATCATTTTATACAGTGTGTCTACTTAAGTTGGCAACATATGGAAAACTTTTTTATTATTATTAAAAAAAAATATATTCTTTATAAAAATGTCTGCATTTTTGAAACATCTGAAATACACTCATAAGATATTACATTTTGACAAGAGCAAAGTAACTTTATTTTGGACAAAATCGAAAACGGTTATTAAAAAAGTTGTTCAAACTAAAAATTCAACTAGGTAATTACATCCCGCTACTTAAAAAAACATTTTTGTCTATAATAACCATACAAATGTAAGTAAACTTGTGTAAAATTTAGGATGTACTGATAAACAAATTATTATTAAAGAGTTTTTTGTCCACCCGAGTCCCCAGATTTGTCGCCACTCGATTTTTCTTCTAAAGGCCATTTACAGATGTTGCTCATTTGGAAACAATCATAATGAGGTTTAGAGTGTATTACTCCGGCTATGGTTAGAAGTAGTATTAAAAACTTTTGTGAACAATTAAGGAAGATTTACATCCAACGACCGGCAAAGACATGTAAAGGATACGACAAAACATTGTTATTAGATACGTAAATGAAGGTGTTCATATTAACCGGCAACGGTACGGTAACGACACGAGAATCAGACCAAAGTTATGTTCTTTAAAATTATTACAAAATTTATTATGACGATATTATTAATTTTACAGCATCGCTAAAATGTTAAGACAGACATAAAGTAATTTAATAGTGATCAATACAACTAAGATTACTGTTTATTAAAAAAAATTGTACAACTTTGTTTAGTAGTTTCTGAACGGAGCGTTTAAAATGTTTGTAATAAATAAAAATGAGAGCTAATAGGCTCGAAACCGGTCCTGGAGTTGCCTGATGTTAGTGAGTCTCGAATTATATCTTTCTTAAATAAATAAAAAATATAAATATTTGGTATCGGCAGGTAATTTTAGAAAAAAATGCAAAAAAGTAGCGGAATGTAATTGCATATTTGAACGTAGTTTGTAGTTCTGATTAATTTTTTATCATAACACTCTTCGATATTGTCAAAAAAACTCTTGACCAAAATTAATAATTTTTTAGCAAACCGGGTAAACGACTGAAAATGTAAGATCTGATGATTGCATTTTAGATTTTAGAACATGCAGAATACTTTTTTTGTAAAATTAATGATAAAAAAGTTTCGCATATGTTGCCAACCTAAGTAGACACACTGTATATTATAAAATATGTATCTATTATATAATATAGAAACAATTTAAAAATCAGCTTGTTTTGGGTTGATAAGATAGGGTGTTAGAAATTTGAGATTCATTTATTTTATTTATCGTATGGCATTGCAACGTGTACAATATTACAGGTTCCTGACGAACCCAAAAGAGGTTTAAAGTCACTATTAACTAGTATTCATCATATTAAAAAAGTATCAAATTATATCAAATTCTTTAAAAGTTATTTAATAAAAAACGATTATCATTTATCGATCGTCATTTATGGGCGTATTTCTTGCTATAAAGAGTCTGGAGAATTTTTTATAGGAACTGGTCGGTTTTGTCGGGACACCCTGTATATAAGTTAATACGTTAGTGTAACAAGGAGCACCGTAATGCAGTTAATTCAACTAAAATAACCATCAGTAGCTTATATTAAGTGAATAACGCTGAAAACGTATAGGATTGCAACGACTTAAGAAAATATGTTTTCTAAATCATAAGGTTGAATTGGCAGTGTCGAGGCTAATATACTATACACAGTGAAATTGAAAAATTAAACTAGCTGACTATATCTAATACAAATTCCATTGCGATACTAAAACTGAGTTAAGCGTTTGTACATTGACGCCATAATTTTATACACTGGTAATAATTATCAGACTTACAACAAACGATATTGAATAGTTACAACTAAATAGTTCTGATATATACAAATTTAAAAATATACAGGCATTTAAATAAGTTCTAGTATATTATAATACTTGAGTATTTGTTTTCTCCAAAAATATTTAGTTAATTAATATTAAAAATATTCTCTTGCGAGTGAACATTCGCTAGAAACATCAACTAATTTGTTACATTGTTCATTATAATCATATTACTTGCTGCATTAAGAAATTCAATGAAATGAAACTATCTTATATTGCAGTGTATACTTAAGTTACGGTTTATGTCCGAAATTAAGTTCATCTCATTTCTACCCAGTTAATATCGAGGATAACATATTCTGTTGGTTAATGTCCGAATATTACGTTGCAACTATTCCTGGTAGTAAGTGATAGTTTATTCACAATGTGTGAATAAACATAACATTTGTGTTAAATTCGAGATACATATACGGATACAGTGCTCATTTTTACGTAAGCGGGGTTAAAAGTGAGTAAAGTAATATATTTAAAGTGGTCAATACCGACATGCACACTTAAATGATCAGTCGGCATAAGCAAAAATATCGAAGGCAGTACGAAAACTATCTTATTTTTTTAGATATTGGGGAGAAATGGTCGATTTTTTCTTTACTAAGTTTTTGCTTTACTCTTTACAAATCCTGCTAACATTCCTTTGTACTTAAAAACCAATAACATTAAAAAGACAATAAAACAATTAAGCGTCTATGTTGAGCAGAAACAAGTAGTGATGAGCAAGACTCGACTTGGTGTTGCAGCCTTATGAACGTAAGAATAAAAGCAAGACAATACCATTTTCTGCAAGACCAAGACTTTTGTAAGTTTGGTGAGAGTCTCCATTGATGAGACTTAATAAGCAGCCGTAAATCAACCTCAGATTCAGCATAGGAGAAACATTTAATTTTAATTAATATTAGAATTTTTTTGTTTATAATTAATCATATTATATTCTTATGTTTTCTGGGTCTCAGTCAAAGATAAAAAAATATATAAGAATATGATAACAAATACACGCAGTCAGGAAAATAAATCAGAATTAATCATATTAAAAGAGGAAAAACCCTTAGATCAAGCAAAGATTTAATGAAATTTATCGAAAAGGAAATTAGAGAATATAGAATTATTATTTCAGCAAATTAGTCCTGAATGAAAATTACATGTTCAGTTCTGGTTACAAATTCTAATGAGTTTTGAACTGTGATCATACATTCAAAATTGGGGTGATTTCCTCTGAGGGTGTTTAGGGAGTACAAGAAAAATAGTGAAAAAATTAACTTCTAAATTTAAAATTGAGACATTTGCAAAAATCTAGATCATAAATTCGGCAACAATGTAGGTGTGTTAGGTAACATAGGCAAGAACAGGAACGTCTTCAGACTTAAACAAAAATTTTAGAAGATTCTATTCCGATAACCAAGACACCTATTTCAGAATGTCACATTGTTAGTAGCAAGAAAACAGAAACATTTTTTTCGCAAAAACTATGAATGCTACAAGATTTTGCAAAGAGCACAACATTGTGAATAAATCAACAACAAAATGAATTGATTTCACCCAGCAAATAAAAAGTTCTGGTAGTTTTTGTACCACGCCACTCAAGAATTCACCACTTGCCCAAAACGGATGAAATCGATTGTCTCATCAAAATATGAGTCTTACATAAGAACAAATTCACAGCGAGTTTCACCAAAATACATCGTACCATTCTCCCGATATTTCAAAAAAATACATTTTATATTTACAAAGATACTCCCTGTATACACACTTCATTGAAAAAAACTTGTTAGATTAAATTAAAATTTATTTTATTATTTAAAATAGAGTTTTATTTATACTTTTATTATTTTCTTAAGGGTTTAATTCACGAGTTTCTAAATAGTTTTTACGTTTCGATCCTTAATAAAAATAGCTAGTGAAAACAAAACATGTTTTTAATGCTTGGAATAAATGTAAACATGAACCTAAATTACTAATAGGTTACTTTTCATATAACTATTTCAACTTTTAAATATTTATTTTCCAAAATTGAATTTTGGTTTCTTTTATTTCAACTCACTACAATGTAAAGTAGCTTTATCAATTATTACACAAAAAAGTTGTAGGTCAAAACAAGATGAGGATCTATTTTCTAAATAATGAAAAATTTGCAAGAAAAATGTTTTTCTCAAAATCGTTTACTTTTACCATACTCGACTCTACTCTCCAAGTGAGCCCCTATAACCTCTTAAAAGAAATGACGCCAATTTTGAATCACCCTGTAGATTTGAAATAGAGGAGCTTTAATTTGTCAAAAGTGCTTGGCCATATTTTTAGCCTCTGAAATTCTATACACACAACTACTATACACCATAGTTTCAGTTCAATGAATTTATTGTAACGCATTTCCACTGTTTTCAAAGGAAAACTTTAACTTGATAATAACTAATTAATGTTTTGGCAAATATGTCGTCGTCATCGATATATAATATACATTTAGAAAAAATTGAAATAATATAAGTATTATTAATGGAAATTTTTTAAACCGTTTATTGTCATCGGCCTTCTGAAAAGCTGGAGTTTTAATTATTTCACTACCTATTCTAAAATAAATAGTTTCTAGGAAGACCTACTTAACATTTTTTACTTGATCCCGTATGAATCTCTTTTTGACATATTATAGCTAGTGGAAAGTTGGTTCAAACATTTTAAAGAAAGCGGATATTGAACAAAGATGTGCCAAAAAATAGAATGTAAAAATAAGCACCTAAATATTGATGTATAAAAGTTTAATTCAATTCGCTTAATGTAATATGCATGTATTTCAACAAAGCTGCTAGGTAAATGGACTAGAGACTTTGTAAGTTATAATGATTTAGGTACATTGTAAAAAAATATTTTTTTTTCCATCAACTACGTTTCTTCGCGCTGCATAATACTGATTCATACTGCAAAAATGTTAAGAAGAGCTCCATGAAGCTTTAGAGTTTAGGACGCTTGCGATGGTCACCCGCTTTATCAACTATATTCATTACCATCGTATAAACCTTCGCAAACAGTCAATAGTCTTAAAATTGGATTAATATTGTAAGGAAACAGTTCTCTAGAAACAAGCCTATTAATCTGCATTTTAAGCCTAATTAATACAGTCATAGTGTCATCTAATTCATTGCTTCTCGGCGTGTTGCCTTCCGCACAACTACTAACAAATTTCGGCCAATTACGGCGGGTGTATTTTAAAAACCTTAGCAAATATAGCAAAAAACAGGTCTCACTTCCTACGAGGTAATCAAGTAAAACATCCGAATCGTGACTGACAATCTTTAAAAACTCTGTGAATGAGTGTACAGGGTTAAGCAATGTGGTCAAATCAGGAAATACTGCATTTCTATAAGAAATCCCTACTGCGATATCAAGGGTACACACCATGGATTCAATAAGGTAATTATCTTGGTCGCAAAACAGGTGAATCATAATTTTACAAAACGGTGTCTCCGGATGAAACTCTAAGGAGTTCTTAACAAAAGCATCTACTTTCTTCAACACATCCCTAATCGATCTTTCAATCATTTGCATATCTTGATAAAAATCATAATCTTCCGACCCAACACTGGAATCTGAACTATCTGATCTGGTTTCCTTAATGGTAACTGCTACCGATTTTAATACCAGTAAAACCATCTTTTGAAGAAGTGTTCTATCAACAGCTGTTTCAGCCGGTTCAGAGCTAAGAATGGAGCCAATAAAAGTATTGATGGTATTACCTGGTTCTTGACGAAAAGGGAGACTATCTAACAATCTGTAATCCTTCACATATCTAACGATCAAATGGGCTAATTGACATGTATCATCAGGAACCATGTCTTGTAATGACAAAGTACTCCCGTAGCATAAAACTTCGTTAAATAAGGACAATAACTGCTTCCAAATAATTGAAGGCAAATTGTTGTTTAAAAGAGCAACAAACGTTTCTAAATGGGCATAAAACGGTTTTATATCTATAACACTCAGGTTTGCTTTAACGGAAATAATTCGCTCCCAGAGCATCAAAAAAGTTAAAGTGCACGTTTCACTATCAACAGGCGATGGATTGATTACAATAGAGTTTTCGATTCTGCGAATTAAGTCGGGCCATATTGACTCTAAGCTCTTTATAATAAGCCCTTTAATAGACGAAGTGTCGAAGCTTTCGGCGTCTCTAAAGGGCACTCTCACACAATTTGAATTTGGATTACTCGACCCTGAAGAGCCTTGCAGATCTGTGTCTTCCAATATATGAATATCAACGTCTTTCCATTCAACGACCCTTTTTATAATTTCCAGGCAAAAGTTAGTTTTTGAATAGACGAATACTTCAGAAGTGAGATTTCTCAGAATTAATTCAATCCAGTCATTATTAATGTTAGCCTTCGCAGTAATTATAAAACTACTAAGCACTTTTGCTGCCAGGTATAAGATAAACGTATTCCTGCTTTCACAAAGCGAGATTATTTGCTCAATGAGATTACATTGGTTGTATAAAATCATTTCACAGTTTAAAACAATTTTGGTGCAAATAAAACCATTATTATTTTGCTTCAGGTAAATATCGAATAGTAGCTGAAGGTTGGATAAAAACTGGATCGTCTGCTGATCAGACCATTCATTTAACACAATAACATCATTTGGTGAAGTGCTTGTATGTTGTACATTTGCAATCAAATGTGTGTGTAAAATGGTTTCTGATATGCCACACAAGCATTGCTTGATAAGATGTTGTTGGAAATTGTTTAAAGAATTGTCTGCTATAACTTGGACTACATCACTACATGCTATATCAGCAGCAGTTTGAACAATTGTACTAATAGGATGTATATTTACTGTGCCGGAGTGGTTGGATTCTGGAGCAACACTGGATTCATTATCAGTCCGGGAAAGGCTTAATGTATTAGTTTCCGTTAACGCACAGTCACTTTCACTGTTTTCGAACTCACTAGCACTTTTTTCCAACTCACTTGTATCAGCTTCCAGAAAACTTTTTGTACTATAACCCAAGTTGACACCATTTAAACTGATATCATCTTCATTAACATCGGGAGGTAAGGAAAGATGAAGCGATTGAAGATTGGACGGCACAACATTTTCACTTAAATTTTGTATAAAATCAGTCTCATCTACACTGCGATTGTTCTCCTCGCGTTTCGGTTTTTTCTTAACTGGCTGTTCTAACGACATTGTAAACCCCCTTTTCCAAAGCACCATTAGAACGAATGAGGGGCAACTTGAAGATTACAAAGTTGGAGAGCGGTATCCAACGAAAAACCTAAAATCAAGCTGGTAAGCATATTTCAGGACGTCGGCTATATTTAAGGTTCGTCTTATTGTCGTCCGTAAATAGGCACAGTTTAGGACTGATTTATTAAAATATGAACTGCAAGCTTACCTGCAAGTCTCATGAGTAACAAGTTCAAACAGTAGTCAATAACATTATGAAGAAATGGGGCGGCTTTTACGGTCAAATGCAACCAATTTCCATCTTACGCAATTGGTATAACATAAACCCGACATCCACCAAAAAAATCGGGAAAATTAACAATTGATTTGTTTATAAAAACACAATATTTATGCTGATGGGACGACCATTGCGTGCGACAAGCGATAATTGACAATAATGACATTAGTGACGGTCTTCAGCGATGCCACATTTACGGATGCTGCTCTTGACGTTTTAGCGGGTAAAATTCCTAGGCGGTGTTTTTCAAGGTCAGGAAAATTTTCCGAGATCTAGGGAAAACCAAGATAACCTTAGCGAAGGGAGAATTATTCTAAAAAACATTTTTAAATTTTAACGAGCAACATTTGTATGCGATACATTTTGGCATAACTATTTGCAATCTTCCATTAAGATGTAACATGCATTTTTGAAGGTTTTTATTTTTTTCTGTGCTTTTAGTTTATATAGGGTTATTTTTAGTTTTAGACTGTTCTGTTCCCTTAGAATTATATTTTATTAATTGAAAATCTTCAATAATTTCTTATACTTTGTATCTTATATTGATAAAGTTGCTCTTATCTTTATAAGATTTGTTCTTTATTTTATTTCTTCTATAATTTTTAACCAATACTTAAACAAGAGAATGTACGAACGTAAATACAGTCTGAGAAATACTAGTGAAAATAAACAGCATTAGCACAACATGCACACCAAATGTTATATAATTTTGATTTTAACAACGCAGATATATTAGCTAGGGAAGCAAATTATCATAAAAGAAGAATTCAAGAACTGATGCAAATAAAAAAAACATGCAAAAGCAGTAAATTTCAGATCAAATTCCGACAACCTTAGCAACATTTCCCAAACCCTAATAAAGCCATAAGTATGGAACACCCAGTACACTGGTAAAAAATTAAAACTATTTCTGCTTATCTCAATACATGTATACCATTCTCGCAAATGTAGAAAATAATTCAGACGAATTTAAGGTTTCAAGAAGGCAAATACCTAAAAGAACGTTGATTTTTACCAATCATGAGGTAAGTTTTTCCAGTGTTTTGCTCTCCCAAAATGAAGGATTTTTCCCTCAAAAACGGATGAATGTTTTGACACTTAATAAATAAATTATAGTTTTTATACAACATGTTTTAATTGTGAATTGGTGTTTGTGGTTTGGGTAAATTTTAAATCTGATGATGACGCTGTCTCGTCGAAACGTAATGAAACAATTGATATTCAAAATTTGTACTTCACACTTTGACTGAGACCCAGGAAAGATAAGAATATTATAACAAGTACATGCAGTCAGGAAAATAAATCAGAATAATTTTTAAATATACTGAAAATTATATAGAATTTTTAGAGACATAAAACTATATAGAATGATTTATTTAATTGGTGGTTTTATTTGTTTTTTTTTAATTAATAATTAGAAGTTAAAAGTTGGTGACTATTTTATTGGACTGAGGTTTGTTGGATTGGGCGATTTTTTTGCTTCTTGATGAGGTTTGAGAAATGCTCTCTTAACATTTTTCCATCCAGAGCTGGTATTCTAACGCTCCGTGTTGTGTAGGACTTATCTAGTGTAGGGCTTATCTGTTGAATCAGCAAAACTCTTCTCTCTTCGCCAATTGCGCGATTGTCGCTCGAAGTAGTTGCGTGATGTGGCAGAAAAGTTTCCGCAAAGCAGGCCGCTCCGAATCCGGCTGAGTATATTATTGTAGTCAAAAATAAATTTTGTTGTTATTGAAAATTAAAGATTTTATCAAGTTCTTGCTAGAGGTAATTTTTTATTGTCACCCTGGAAATATGCAACGTGGGCCTGGGTAACACTGTGTCTTAAGGCACTTTTGTGTTGATGCCGCTCTGGGAGTCAGGGTGTTGAAACAAGGGTGCTGGTTTCTTATTAAATACAACCGCATATATACAAAATTAAGATAGATATAAAATAACTTTTATTCTTCAATTAAAACCCGTTTAATCATACATACATAAATATGAAACAAGGAAATTATTGGACTTGGAATACTCTACCGGAAATAGTTTATTGTTATTATACAAGTGCTTCATAACTTCCACCATCATATTCTTTGAAACGTCCACAACATCTACGCTTTGATCATTTTTCCATTGCTCAAGAATCTCATTGTCATCATGATCAAGAAATTTAAATAACGTTTTCGCAACGTTCGTGGATTTAGAATGTTCATTCAAGCTAAGCAAAATATTCAGTTGCTTCTCTAACACCCAGAGTAACAAGTAGTGTTTTGCTCCATCGGAATTCTTATAAACGAAAATAGCTTTAATAGAATTTAACAAACTACATTCGAAAAGTCCGCGAATTGTTAAAAATGCATCTGTCAATGGTGCAGTGTTGAACACTCCGCAATTATTATCTCTGAAAGTTACTGTATTAAACCACAGTCGTACTGTGCAATTTTCGCTTAATGTTCCCAGCCAATTGAAACAGAATTTGCACACTAGCACGTTATTTTTTGATAAACAATTACTAATTTTATCTTTGTGAATGCAGAAATAGCAATTAGTAAATAAAAAATCTTTTGTTTTGGGCTCAAGCAAATTGACAGGGTTTGAATCATGTCCGTGGCAGAACCAATCTGCCTGATCTAAATTTTCAGGAAGTGGCAGCACTCTTTCAAATTTAATATCGGGACCTAAACTTCTTTGGCAATTTGCACAGTCGATTGCATATAAAATATTATTTTTAATAAAAGTAGAATTACTCAATTTGCTATCAATATCATTATTTTCAAGCAGCTCTGTTTTAAAACTACCAAAATTTGAAACGTTACTTTGGCCCGCTAAGAGCCTAAAGGAAATAAAGTGTTCTGATATTTTTAAGGATGTTAAAGTAGACGATTGAGCATCAAAATTTGTCAGTGGCACGGTAAAATTTTCAGCATTTTCAAAAACCACTTTAAAGTCGTGCTCAACTAAAATAACGGATGTGGCATTAGGACAATCATCCTTTAAAGTTATAAAAACACTTGCACTTTTCAGCTTAGGTCTAAGTTCAACAACAATTGATTTATGGAATTTGCTTTCCATCTCGCTTCTTCAACAGATTCTGCTTTGCTAATTCTTCAAATAAGCTGTCATTTTCTCTCACAACAAATGGAATAGTAGCTTTCTGATAATAGTCTGATATAAGTTCTAAATTGCTTATAACAGTCGTCAGCAGGTGAGCCCTTTCAGCTAGAATTCCTGGAGCTTCATGTCTCAGGTACGTGAAGTGAATATGTAGGTGATAAAAGGATGGCTGGTAATGTAGGTAAATCCGTAGCTGAGAACCATCTAAACCATACTTAGACTTAATTGCATTCTGTAAAAACAATCAAAATGGCTTATTTGATCTATAACAACCTGGACAAACTTACAATAGTTGTCGCCTTGATATTGTTTAGTAAAGGAAGATGTTCAGCCGTTAGATCTCTGATGGACTTCAGTTCTCTTCGATTGCAAATGGCCAGAAAATACAATGTTTCCAAATCGCCGTTCCACTTAAGATCTGGCACCACTACAAAGCCATTTATAGGATCAGTGTCTTCCACTAAAATTCTGTCGCTCTCAGATTTGTGGTCAATTATATTGTACACCCACTAAAACAAAAGAAGATATACAAAAGAACAATTCAATGTAGAAAACTATCTTAGTTTTATATTTAACTAATTTTCAATTCAACACTTACCTGTAAATCAAACTTATCGCTTGTAATATGCGGTACAACGATGTTATTATAAATATCTGGTGTTTCATCAAGCATATAACTGTTCTGGGACGAATACTTGATAATATGCTTTTCAGTAGCAGGATGGATTATAGTCGTTTTAACACCTGAAATGACAGTCTATTTTCAATTTCAAAGATTTACAAATTGTTTTTTTTAGTATTCATTAAGTTCAAACTATTTGATTGTATAGAATGTCAGTTTCCTTACACACCATATGAATCGCGAAGAAAAAGACCCAATTTTATCCCTTTAAAATTAACATAAGTTTTCGAGAACGTTTAACAGTTACAAATTTCAAAATTCAACCAGATAAGTATGCATTTTTGAAGAAAATATTTGCTTATTTAGGCCATGTTGTCTCTCCAGATGGAGTGAAACCTAATCCTAACTAAACCAAGGCTGTCAAAGAATATCCGATTCCTAAATCTACCCAAGAAATTGAGAATTTTTAGGTCTTCTTGGATATTATAGACGCTTTACAAATAATTTTAGCAGCAATTAGCAGCAGCGTTTGACCTAGAGTGGAAAGCTGCAAACAGCATCTGTTCTCCACGTTCTTCATGTTTGGACTGGCTGATCCAAAATAAATGGCGAATCATCAAAATCCCACGCCTCAAGGATTCTGGGGAGGCAAAAGTTCGCTTTCAAAACAAGAACACGGAGAAGACAAATCAAAAACTTAATAAGAGAGCTCATGTCTCATATCACAACTGCTCGAATTAGAGGAAGAAATATCCGATATAAATTGGGATGTGATCGGAATGTGTGAATTGAGAAGAAAACGAGACGAATGTTTCATTCTCAAATCGGGACACACATTTACATATTGCATATTGTTATGCCCCATCATCAAGTCACAACGACGATAAAAAAGATCAATTTTATGATAAGATCAGGGAAATGATTAGCAAACTTTCATCTTTGGAGACTCCAATGCAAAATTGGGGAAAAACAAGAAGCAGCTGAAGAATATGTAGGGCAATTTAGTTCCGATGAGAGAAATGTACGAGGTAAGAGACTGCTGGAGTTCATAAAAGAACATCGATTATACTCGAAGGCGTCATTCTTTAATAAAAAGAAACAAAGAAAATGGACCTAACAAAGTCCGGATGGTAATACAAAAAGTGAAATTGACTATTTTTTCTCCAATAATAAATTAGTCGTGAAGGACGTTACCGCTCTAAATTGTCGCAATATTAACCGAATGATAAGAGCCAAAGTAACTGTTAATGCTAGGCTAGAGCGGAGGAAGATTCTCAAACAAAAGAAACAAGTTATTGATCCAAAAACGTTGAACAAAAATTCGGAAAGATTCCGGGAAGTACATGGAATAAGAAATGGAGAAAACTCAGGACAAAAAGAACATCTACAAAACCAGCCAATATTTTACTAACATCCATATTCAATACAACAGCAAGAGAAATAGCAGTGCAGAATAAAGAAAAAACATACAAGCTTAGGGATGAAACAACGAAAAGTATTGAAAAAAAGGGACAACTATTAAAGGAGAAATCATTGGAAGAAGTTAGAAGTTTAGCAAAAGAGACAAGAAGGATGGGGAGACACGGTCTAAATGAACACAATGAATAGATAGAGATAGATAGAGGGATAGAGAAGAAATAATACGAACAGCCGAACATTTTTACAGTAATTTATACACTCAAAAAATTCAAACACCAGCGGCGCAAGAAAACAATAAGATTATGAATGTAGGATCAGAAGTGATCCCCGAAATAACTGAGGACGAGATTAGATATGCTCTAAATCATATGAAAAATAATAAGGCACCGGGTGAAGATGAAATTCTGAGAGAAATGCTAAAAGAGAGAGAAAATATATTGTTGTCAAAACTCTGCACACTGTTCAATGAATGTATAGAACAAGAAAAGATACCCAAAAATGTGAACAACGCTGTTGTAATATACAAGAAAGAAGATAAAACAAATTTAGAGAATTATCGCCCGATATCATTATCATCAGCAAGTATATTCACAAAAATTCTTACGAACAGACTGACTAATAAATTAGATCAATACCAGCCAGATGAACAAGCGGGCTTGAGAAAACCGTATAGCACGTGTGACCATCTTAGGACAATGAAGATCGTTCTTCTGACAATGATGAAGACTGATGATGACTGATGACAATGAAGAAGTTTTTCGAGTCTCTATCGATCCCTGAAGTTTGCGCTTTGAAAACTAGACCACCCTGCATAAAACTTAAGAGCTTTAATTAAATCAGGGCTGAAAGCTAATAAAAATTAGATTTTGGACATACTTATCGAATTTTTTGCATCATTTTCGCAGTAAAATTTTGTCATGATCAGCAGTTGGAAAGTTTGCCGAATTATAAAAGCAAGGAATAATTTAATATTTTTCAAAAATAATTGATCTTGTAGAATTCTACGAAACAAAGTAACTGAATAATATTATTACACAACTCCGATAAATCTAAACGTCTTAAACAGGTTGCCTTAAAAGACATGTTGAGTGTTAAGCTTTACATAGGTACAGATAAATGCTTGTAATTGGTGAGTTTTTCGGGCCGTCGTGGCAGAGATTTTCTTTTCGAGAATGCCTCGCATCTTTAAAGGTGTTTTCGCTTGAACCTTCCAATCGACTGATAAGCCAGAGGTTGAAAGATTGCACTGAACTAATGATCAGGATGGATCAGCTTTCAAGCAAAAGCACATTTGGAGATGCAACTCGTGCCTGCAAAACGCCAGGAAGGAACTATTTTCCACAACAACCGAAAAGCCTGAAAAACTTACTAGTTGGCCGCCAAAGCTTAACTCTTATGATGCATGTGCTCGTTTAAAAACTTACTGTTCAACTCTGGCACCGGAAAACACGTGTAGTTTCCATAGGCATCGTTATGGAAAACCTTTTCAAGATAACTTTTTTCTGTAAAATATTCACTGGTAGGAGTTAGATTTTCTGCGGAAAATGCTGTTTTTTCCAAGATGACAAGAGCATCACCCTCCTGAGATTTAAAACTGCCTTTTAAGCAAACCGTTTTTCTACTGGTATTATTAAGCAGGACGGTGTCTAGTTGAAAACCTGACAAATCTTTTAAGTGATTATGAACGGATTCGGTTGCATCTTTATCGTGCTTTTGCTTTTTTGCCGGACAAACACCACCATTCTCACTATTATCAACCTGATCAGCGGCCATTGTTCTCAAAAAACAAAACAATTGTGAAGATAGGCTGTAGACACACTGTTGCCACTCACGATACAATAAATACATTCATTGTTTCATGGTTGCCACTGATACCTTTTAAATGACTAAACGCATTTAGTGACCTAAGGTGAACTACTCACATAATCTTTCCCTTTTTAATTGATAGCAAATGCAAAGACAGTCGTGATCAGCTAGTAGGAAGTGATACGATGTTGCCATTTCAATAAGTTCAAATTAATTTCGATGACATTTGTGATGTTTCTTTGCCGTGTAACCTTACGTGGCAGATGTGAGTTGTACATATTTTTATTAAAGTGCAAAGTAAAAGTGAAAATTGTTTTGTGGTAGTAAAAATGAACCCTGCGTTTTTACCGCCCCAGCAAGGCAATTTTAATCTGCCTTCAAATGGCTTTGCACCACGAAGCAGTAGTGCAACAGCTCCACAAACAACAGTAAATAAAATTGGCCCAACAATGGGAGCACCAAGCCCTACTCCTCCAGGAATGCCCCAGTCTGTAAATGGTCCGCCTGTAAATCGTGATTCGACTAATCCCATGGGAATATCCGCGTATGCCCCAGGCATGCCACAGAAAAACAACCAATTAATATCTGGAAATGGCCCTTCTAATCAACCATATTTAGGTAAAGTTGATTTTGCCTCACAACCTTCTCCGCCCCAGTTTAGACAACAAGGACCATTGCCCAATGCAAACCCTAATCACCCAAATATGAATCAAGTATCAAATTTGCCAGGTCAAAATCCCGGATTGCAATCAATGCAAGGCAATTTTCCACCAAAACAGTTTCCCACTCAGGCTCCTGGGCAGTTTGCCAATGCAATGCCACCTCTTCAAGCAGGAATGCCTCCAAGACAGGGTTTATCTATCCAAGGGCCAGGTTCAACGCCCTTACCAGTACCTGGCAATTTGCCTCAAATGCCCAATTCAGCTCAAATGCCATTTCCAGCTCAACAAAGCAATTTTGGACCACAGCAACCTCACATGCCGCCACCCAAGCCGCAAGGCAATTTCGGGCCACAAATGGGTCATATGCAGACTCACATGCCTCCGCCCAATCCTCAGGGCAATTTTGGGCCGCAACCAGGTCAAATGCCTCCACCACCACAAGGGCAATTTCCTCCTCAAAACCATTTTCCACCTTCTCTGCAAGGGCAAATGCCCCCAAACCGTATGCCCCCAAATGCAGATCATCTGGATCAGTTAAATATCTCCAACCAAATGCAGACAATGTCATTGAGTGGCTCTAAGCCAGGGGGCCCCATGCAGCCTCCTCAGCCTCCCGGTTACATGCAGCAGCAACCTAGAGGCATGCAACAAGGACCTGGGTATCCTCAAATGGGACAACCAGACGGTTATATGGGTCAAACTGCAAGGAAGCTGGATCCCGACCAAATGCCCAGTTTTATTCAGGTTATTAGAGACGATCAAGCCAGCAGAAGTGGCCTGTTTGTCACAAACGAAAAAGGACTGGTACCTCCATTAGTAACCACTAACTTTGTAGTTCAAGACCAAGGTAACTGTAGCCCTAGGTTTATTCGATCTACCATGTATAATGTGCCGATTTCTCAAGATATATTGAAACACACTGCAGTTCCATTTAGTTTAGTAATTAGCCCGATGGCTAGAGTAGGCAAAGATGAATATCCGCCTCCTATTGTTAATTTTGGCGAGTTAGGCCCGGTTAGGTGTATTAGATGTAAGGCATACATGTGTCCGTATATGCAATTTATTGATTCCGGCAGACGTTTTCAGTGTCTGTTTTGTAAAGCTACAACTGATGTTCCTGCACAATATTTTCAGCATCTGGATCACACTGGGCAAAGAATGGATAAATATGAGCGCCCCGAATTGGTGTTGGGATCATACGAATTTGTGGCAACTGCTGATTATTGCCGCAATAACACTTTGCCCAAGCCGCCAGCAATAATATTTGTTATTGATGTGTCGTACAACAATATTAAATCCGGCATGGTCCAATTACTGTGCTCTAAAATGAAGGAGATTATTAAAAATTTACCGGTGGACCAGGGCCATGAAAAGAGCAACATGAGAGTGGGCTTCATTACATACAACAGTTCTGTTCATTTTTATAACATCAAAGGAACGTTAGCTGGGCCCCAGATGATGATTGTCGGAGACACCCAAGAAATGTTTATGCCGCTGCTGGATGGATTCCTTTGCACTCCTGAAGAATCTGAAGCCGTTATTGATTCCCTAATGGAGCAAATTCCGACCATATTTGCTGAGACCAAAGAGACCGAAATAGTACTGCTACCGGCTATTTTGGCTGGTTTAGAAGCACTCAAAGCCTCTGACACTACTGGCAAGCTTTTGGTGTTCCACTCAACGCTTCCTTCTGCAGATGCACCCGGAAAATTGAGAAATCGTGATGATAGAAAACTTCTTGGAACGGACAAAGAAAAGACGGTTTTAACACCTCAAACTCAAGCCTATAATCAGTTGGGTCAAGATTGTGTCGCTGCAGGATGCGCTGTTGACTTATTCATTTTCAATAATTCCTATATAGATATTGCAACAATAAGTCAAGTGTCTAGACTCACAGGCGGCGAAGTTTTCAAATACACATATTTCCAAGCAGACATCGATGGAGATCGTTTAATTACTGATGTTATTATGGACATCAGCCGTCCCATTGCCTTTGATGGAATTATGCGAGTAAGAACGTCAACAGGAGTAAGACCTACTGATTTCTATGGGTACTTCTACATGTCTAATACAACGGACATGGAATTAGCTGCACTGGACTGTGACAAAGGTATTGCGATCGAAATAAAGCACGACGATAAATTATCCGAAGAGGAAGGAGTATATATTCAAGCTGCTTTACTATATACTTCCTGTTCAGGGCAAAGACGTTTACGAATAATGAATTTATCATTGAAAACATGTGCGCAAATGGCTGATTTATATAGAAGCTGTGATCTGGACACGATCATTAATTTCTTTGCGAAGCAAGCCACTTACAAGCTCTCGGAAAACAATCCAAAGGCTGTGAAGGACGCCTTAGTGAATAGATCTGCCCAAATTTTGGCAACTTATCGAAAAAATTGCGCTTCGCCTACTAGTGCAGGCCAATTAATTCTGCCAGAATGTATGAAATTGTTGCCTCTGTACACCAACTGCCTACTCAGATGCGATGCACTCTCTGGCGGACAAGATATGACTCTTGATGATAGAGCTTTCGTCATGCAGGCCGTGTTAACGATGGATGTTCGTAGTTCGACAGGTCATTTATATCCCACGTTAATTCCACTACATGAAATTGATTTGTCAACAAATCCAGTGGAAACGCCTTTACCAATAAGATGCATCATGGAGAAATTGAGCGAACAAGGAGTGTATCTATTGGAGAATGGAATTCATATGTTTTTGTGGGTGGGCCTCGGCGCAAACCCCGAATTTGTTCAAAATGTTTTCGGAGCACCTTCTGCGATACAGATCGATATAGAGCGGCCACATCTTCCCGAACTGGACAACCCATTGTCGATAGAAGTCAGGAGAATAATAAATGACTTAAGAATTGAAAGACATAGATATATGCGATTGACTGTAGTCAGGCAGAGAGAAAAGTTGGAGCCAGTGTTCAAGCACTTTTTGGTAGAGGACAGAGGAACAGATGGATCACCTGGTTATGTTGACTTTTTGTGTCATATGCATAAGGAAATTAGGGCATTGTTGAGCTAGCTGAATAATTGAGCACCGAAGTGCTGAATCAACTACATGTTACATTAACAGTTTAATAATAGTTACCAACAGGTCTTCATACGGTTTTACGGTTATCTCTTTGATTGGAATCAGATGTGTAGTTCGGTTATCAGCAAATTGCTCAATAGTAACACGTAAATTTCTTACGATTATGACTATTTCAACTACGTGAATTACGTAAAAACATAGACGCTTGTTAGAACGTTTGAAATGCAATTACACGAAAGAGGGCAACGATAAGCTTCCTTGGACCTGGTGGTAAATAATTACGATTGTACGAATCGCTATCAAATATATTAACATAAAGTCTGTGTATTGTGGATGTGTATTAATTTTAGATTAAACATTATATATCATTCATATGTTGGCTATTTGTAGGAACCATATTATGCATTTTCTCATGTATTTATTAGTCACACTGAATAGGACAATTCTCTCTTGCAGGCCAATTTGTGAACGGTCAGTAAAATTTTTCTGTTTCCCAAATAATTCTCACTTAATTACCGAAATTGAAATATCATACCACGACGGATGAAATTGAAGTGAACTGTTGTGTATTATTTAATAATGCCTCTATAGTATTTCTACAGCTTTATTTTCGCATGGTTAAAGATGGGGTATTAGCATTATAGGAATCACAATTTTTTACAACTTTAGTATCTTGTCAGATAGCCGAGAACATGCATAATTTTAATACTTTTCAATACAAATCAGACTAATTATGAAATATTGTGTCAGACTTCGTATTTTTTTTATAGTGAGGCAATACTTAAAGTGGAAATCATTTGTTAATTGATATCGTAGTTCTTGTAATATGGTCTGATTTAGGCGCAGCGATTTATATTGATTTACTCTGACTAATAATCGGTACGTTAGAAAAATTATGTTATTTTCCTTCAAGCATTCTGAAAAAGTTGGAAATACGAATAGTTATTAGTAGTTCTGTTTTGTATATATAATAGTTCTTTTTCCAAAACGAAATATATTTTATTTTACTGAATTACTTTTTGAATTTTATTCCAATGACTCACCTCGGATTTTCAATGTAACATTAAACGGGCGTGAACCAAGTGAAAATAATGTATTAGCGTAAATATAACTGATTTTATAATATGATAAATAAACTTCTTTTGATGCTAAATTGGAGATTGGGTTCAATCAGAGAAAAGTTGTGAGGTTTCGAGTTAGAATGAGATCGGGATTTTCAGAGATAACAATCAACTTTGAACTTTCATAAAAGTCCTTTTTAATGGTTTTGTCTTGCATGAATTCTGAAACCTTAATAATGGTTTTTTCGTTGATAAACAATGGAAGGGCTGAAAGCAAAATAGTTATAAGGGATATCGTTTGCGTGTGTGCAAGTTAGTGATTACTTAAGCGTACTGAACGGAGGACTCTATTTTTTAAACAGTGTATCGTTCAGTGAGTTGTAGAGGGTGTTTCCTCATAAGTTGACATCTTCCGAGACCATTTATTTATTTAAAAAAATGTGACAAGTTATTGTTTATTGTCACTCAATTTTTGAAAATCTGAAGGTTAGATGTAAATGTCAAAGTTTGACATAAAGTCATTTATACTTTGCACATATATGACACCCTATACAGGGTCTCACCGAGAACCGCCGCGATCGATATCAACACAAACAACTTGTTAGGAGAAAATTGGACAGTGTGCCAAAGTCATTGGTGGCAAGCGGTCTAAATATTATCAAGATGGCCACATCCGCTTATACGGAAGTAGGTATCAAATTGGTGATTTTAAATGGAACACCCTATATATTATCACATCTTTGAATTCTACTCCAAATTCAAAATACAGTTCTTGTATTAATATCCTACATCTCAGTCTAACCTTTTTTCATATATATTTGAGTTTTATGTAAAAATGACAATTGTAGCCACTCGAATAATTATTGATTCTTCCCACAAGGGAATATGTTCTCCTCAATTTGAGTAGCATTTTGTTGAAAGGGACTTACTTTAATGGATTTTCAATAACATTTAATATTTATTAATTCAAGGGTTAAAAAAAATTCCAAAATGACGTTGAGAAAACTGCCATTTTTGATAATTGTATCGTATTCAGTATTAAAAATAAGGGTGAGTTTGTGTAATATGTTGTCTATTTCAAAAGTGTTTAGTTTTCGCAATATTGTCAATTTAATGTCTTCATATGGCTATTTTGTCGCATCTTATGTATTTTAAATTCTGTCACTCTGACTTGCCATGACGAAAGTGGCCATTTTTATTAAAATAAAATGCCAAAGAAATACTTACAGCTGTCAGTTACCTTTTGAAAATAGTTAATAATCATGTCCAGACGCTTAAATTATACAAACGAAGAATATTTAAACTTATTTATTATTTATGGAGAATGTGATGAAGCACAAAAACAGAAACCTTCACGTTGTGCTGTTAAATAAATTATAGAAAATTTGAAGAATTTTGCTATATGCATGTTGACTTGATTGTGAAAAAACTCAATTCTGTACGAAGA